TGCTGTGTAGACAGGGTTCCATGGCGATTTGGTGACCAACAGTGGTGAGGAGTCTCAGTGACCAGAGTGGGGCTGGAGCCTGTATGTATGTATGCCCCTGGGCTGCTTTGAACTGGTCTGTCAGGCCACGATTATCAGCCTTTTTCTTGTTTAATTTTTTTTAAAGATGCCTAATCGAAGGAAAAGGTGGGGGAGGCCTCACTGCTATGGGAAGGGGTGCAGATAGAGGATGAAAACAGCCCCACTGTCTTGGTGTGGGTGCCTAGAGAGAGCCTCCATAGGGTGTAGGTGCCTGGCACTGGTGGGGGCAGCTGCTGCATTCATGGGCTTGGAGCGCTGTGCTGGCATGAGACAGGCCGTTGCTGCTGTTGGTGGCGAGATTGGAGGAGCCCCGTGAGCAACGATAAGGCTCAGGGGAGCCAATCAGTGGGTGTTGGCCATGTGAGGTCTGAGGTAGTGTGTCTGACATCGGCTTGGAGGCCCTTGGACCCAGGTCACTTATCCCCTGGGCTTTGGAACCAGGCTGTGTTTGGGGAATGTATGCTCTTTGAACTGAGGATGCACTCCCTGCTGCTCCCGCAGGCCTGGGATGCTAGGAAAGTGCTGAGCTAGCGTGGGCAGGAGCGGCACTGGTGGGATCAGGGAGGGCTCTGGCTGCCAGAGGGGGAGAGTATAGCAGCACACAGTAGTGGTGCCAGCCAGCGCTAGCAGGAGCAGGCAGGAGCATGTGGGAGTGGTATGGTCTTGGGCAGGCTCACGGATGGAGGGGTCTCAGGCTACAATGTGGGGTGGGGGGCACCCCAGTCGCAGGTCACCTAACCTGCTAAAGGGAGACTGCAGGTCAGTTCCTGGGGTCCTGGGTGAATGGAAGAAGAGAACTGAGTTTGGTGGTGGAATATCACCACGTGAAGAGAGGGGAACCATGGGAGAAGAGAGCAGCTCTCCTAGGGGAGTGCTGTGAGTGGGTGGCTGCTGCGAGGGGGTCCTTCCACAGTTGTGTAGGTGTCCGCAGGGCAGGCAAGCAGCTCCTGGCATGGTGACTAGGCCTAGGGGTGGGATGGGGCAATCAGTGACAATAGCAGTGGTGGCCGTAGCGTGCAAGAGCAGCCCAGCCAGCTGAGCCAAGATGTCCCAAAGATCAGATCTCAGATCTTGGGGGGCTCTAGCTCAGGGCAGATGTGTTGTGTGGGGGGGCGGTGCCTTGTGGCTGAGGGTTGTCCCAGGGGTCCTCTCACTCATCAGAATCCTCCCACTAGCCCTGTTGGACACCAGATCCACCATATATGAAAGAGCTATCAGTATGTGCTTCCTACCTGAGTGCCATCTTCAGTAATAGAGTGTTTTTGTTGCATGAAATTGGAATAAAGATAGCCTCTTTATTCTGGTGGAACCTCTCTGGAACTACCCAAGTTCAGCTCAGAGGCATAGCATCTTTCTTGCTTGGAGAGAAGCTTGCTATATTGGACTTTTTTCCCCTTTACAATATATGTTTTTGACTATGCATTTTTATTGTAGGGGAAATATATACATAACAAAAATATGCCAACTTAATAATTCGTATGTATACATTGAAGTAACACTGATAAAATTGAAGATCAATGATCTTCAAGTTGTACAATTATTTTCATTATCCTTTTCCAAACTAGTCTACCACAAGTAATATAATGCGCTCTAAGCAAAAATCCTTTTTTCTCTCACCTTCCCACCCTATAAAAAAAATGTACTGCCATCAAGTTGATTCTGATTCATAGTGAGCAGTAATAGTTTTTGATTTTGATATATTTACTAATTTCTTATAAATTAATTCTTAGGATGAGTTTTTCATGCCATGATTAAATAACCTTGAAAAAGTATCTGAAATTGAGCCTCCTTTTCACAAAAACAAGAGTCTCTGGAAAGTGAAAATTATTAAAGTTGCTACCTAAGAGATTAGATTTTCAGATCACCCAAAGACACCTGGGGAGAAATGTCTAGCGATTTACTTCTGAAAAACCAGCCACTGAACCCTGTGAAGCACAATTGTCCTCTGACACACGGGGGTCACCACGAGGCAAACAGCCCAATGGCTACTAGTGCCCCTACCATGAGAGTGGCACTCCCACAGCCAGAGGTGGTTTGACAAAGATTCCTGGAATGAAGCACGTTGTGACAGGAGAGAATCTTGGGCCTCTTCTAGTTGAGCTCTTTACTTTTGTGGATGAGGCTGGTGTGAAGCCAGAGAAGGGATATGGCTTCCTTACACCACACTCTTGAGGGGCTCTTCCTTTAAATCATCTTATTGGGGGCTCTTATTGATATTATAACAATCCATATAGCAATTATATCAAGCAAACTTGTACATATGTTGCCATAGTCATTTTCACAACATTGTCTTTCTGCTTGAGCCCTTGTTATCAGTTCCTCTTTTTCCCTCCCTCCCCACCTTCCCACCTCGAGAATCCTTGATAAATTATATATTATTATTTTTTCATATCTTACACCATTCACTGTATCTCTTCACCCACACTTCTGTTATTTGTCCCCTTGGGAGAGAGGGACAAATAACATCCATCATTAATATTGGTTACCTCTTTCTCCCACTTCCTTTCCCTCCTCTCCCCTCCCCCTCATGTTATCACTGCTCTCATTACTGTTTCTAAGGGCTTTATCTGTTTTGGCTTCCATGTGTTGAAAGCTCTTATCTTTACCAATGTACATATTCCGGTCTAGCATGATTTGTGAGGTAGAACTGGGGTCATGATAGTGGTGGGGAGGAAGCAGTAAAGCACCAGAGGAATGTTGTGTGTTTCATAAATGCTATATTTCACCCTGGCTGAATTGTTCCTTCAATGTGACCCTTCTGTTAGTGGCTGTCCAATTGTCTATAGACAGGCTTTGGGTCTCCACTCCGATCCCTCTCCTTCACCTCGATATAATTGTTTGTTTTTGATTTCCTAATACCTGATCCCATCAATACCTCATGATCACACAGGCTGGTGTGCTTCTTTCATGTGGACTTTGTTGCTTCCCTGCTAGATGGCCGTTCATTTAACTTCAAGCTTTTAAGACCCCAGATGCTCTATCTTTTAATAGCCCGGCACAATCAGCTTTCTTCACAGTTGCTTATGCACCCATTTTGTCTTCAGCGATCATGTTGGGAAGGTTAATATCACAGAGTGCCAGTTTATCAGAACGTGATTTTTGTGTTGAGGGAATACTTAAGTCGAGACCCAAAGTCCGTCTGCTACCTTAATACTTTAACATATAAATATATGTACATAGATCAATACCCCTAGCCTTATATATTAATATATTTGCTTATATACATGCCTATATTTATACCTCTATATATGGCTTTGGCCTGCTACTTCTTTCATCTGTTTCTGTTTACTAGCCTCCTGTCCCACTATCATGTTCACCTTTTATTCGGTTCTCAGTAATTCCTCTTGGCTAAATTACATATCATGGGTTGTGGCTCTTGGTCTTTGGGAAAAGAATGCTGAAGAGCCCAAGATGTTGCTTCCACTTATCTCTTGACCACATTCCAGATTTGAGAAGATGATCAGTGGCTTGTACTTGGGGGAACTCGTCAGGCTCATCTTGCTGAAGATGACCAGAGCCGGCCTCCTGTTTGGTGGCAAGACATCGTCTGCTCTCCACACCAGGGACAAGATTGAGATGCGGCACGTGGCTGCCATGGAGAAGTAAGCTGCTGGCTGGGCCCCACCTGCCTTGGTTCTGCTGAGTGCTGGGGTGGGGGAGGGTCAGCATGTGGTCTGCTTAGCAATCATGGGGTAGCCCTGGGAAGCAGATCATCCTTCACTACCAGAAGGATTTCAGACCTGCGGATGGCTTCACATGGGGTAGCATTCAGCCATGAATCCAGTGGGGCATTCATGTTCATTTCATCAGTGTGTAATTCTGCCATTGTACATGTACCCCATCCTGTGTTTCACTGCCTTCTTCCTCCTTGAAGTGGTGACATGTAACTTTTGGGGGTCCGGGATCACTTTGAGAATTTTATTTTAGTCCTGAACTCTTTAACTTCCACATGAACATTCACAAGAAATAAAAGTTTCTTACAATATTAAAGCCTCTTTGGAGCCCAAGTTAAGAACCTTTGCTATAGCAAGAACCTCTGACACCTGCTCCCTTTAGGTGCTGACTGAGACTGTGGTCATTTGAGGATTTTCACACAGTAACCAGGAACGGGAACTGGCTGGTGAAGGTGGCTGGCCCCAGTCAACTTAGAGTTCTGCCTCCTCAGGCCTACAAACTGTGGCATTGCCCTAAGCTTGGCAATCACTTTAGATACTGAGTTCAGTAGAGTGTTACCTGACCCACAGAGTCTGCTCCGTCCATTTCTCGGTGGAGGTGGAATTCCTGTGAAGCCATATAATCCAGGGTGGTCAAAATTATGGGCTAGTTATCTGACTGACTGAATGCAAATCCAAGCTCTAGCATTTGGCTACTGCTGTGACCACAGATGAATTACTTAACCTCTTTGTTGTAGAGATGAGTTAAAGTAGATGAAGTCCTTAGACAAATACCCGGGAAAAAGTGTTTCATAAATGCTGGCTGCTGTGATAATTGGTGACATTATTATTACATTCCTGGGTGCTGGTCTATTTATTGTCACAATCCTGAAAGGTGGGGAACTGGCCTCTCAGAAGATGAATAAGTATAATCTCATTCCTTTCCTTGGCCAGGGATAAAGAAGGCCTTGCTAACACAGAAGAAATCTTGACCGACCTGGGCTTGGAGCCATCAGAGGATGACTGCGTTGCAGTGCACCATGTGTGTACCATTGTCTCCTTCCGATCAGCCAATCTCTGTGCAGCAGCCTTGGCAGCAATCCTGACACATCTCCAAGAGAACAAGAACTACGAAAAATTGAAAGAGCTCACGACCACAGATGGCAAGGATTATAGCCTCAACCAGACACACCTCAAGTAAGTACTGCCTGGCAACTGGGTTCTGTTGCTATTCTGAGCTGCCTGAACTCCTCTCCATATGCAGGCCATGTCCAGTGCACATAAAGACAATCCAGTCATCAAGTAGGCAGACAGAAGAGAAGTGTACTCACTTACACAGGAGTTCAGCACTATGGTAATATATACTTTTAAAACAAGTAAGCCAGGCTAGTCCTGAGAAGTTGGAGATTAAAGATGTCCCAGTGTCCAACCCATCGAAAATGCTACACCATCCCTTCCCCAAACCCCTCCCTTCAGTATATTCCCTCACATTCCAGGGTTCTGCAGTTGCCTGCAACAACCCACAGAAAATCATGAAACTTTGAGGAAATGCCTCAAGTGGTGGTAGGTGTTGTTCAGTCCCAAATCTGAAGGGCAGACAGAAGCAATCCAAATGCCAGATGCCAAACAGGCCCAAAAAGCATAGCAGATGTATTTTTTCTCCGACCAGAATTCAGTCCAGAAATAGAGGTGTGGCTGTCCAAGTGAGGCGGTGTGTGTTAGAACTGTATGGTGGTGTCTGAAGTCACCCCTCTACTAAGATAGAGTCAAAGATGCTCACAAGGAATAATGGGTGTGGCTGGGTTCACACCCTCTACTAAGTGGCATACCACTTGCCTGTCAGTTTGTTGTTCTATGGTGTCTTCTGTGTTGCTGTGGTGCTGGAAGCTGTGTTACTGGTATTGCAAATAGCAGGGTCACCAAGAGTGAACAGGCCTTACCAGAGTTTCCAGACTAAGGACAGACTAAGAAGAAGGACTAGGCTGTCCACTTCAGAAGAATTGGCTACTGCAAACCATATGGGTAACATCAAAACATTGCAAGGTACTGAAGGTCTACTGAATCGTGGCAGAACATTGTCAGAGACAGTGCCAGAAAATGAGACTCTATGAGGCCAGAAGGCACTCATATTATGACTGAGGAAGAGCTGCCTTCTCAAAGTAGAGTTGACCATAGTGATGTGGATTGAGTAAATCCTGCGGGAGTGTGTTAAACAGGGTTGACTGGATAAACAGATCCATTGACACTCATGTGTATAAGAAAGAGCTTTATATCAAGAAGTAGTTATATATTAAGAAAGAATCCCAGCCTAGTTCATCTCAAGTCCATAAGACTGATTCTGGTCCATAAGTTCCTCTTCAGAATCACACGGTCACGTGCAATGATGCAGAATGCAGGAATATCACAAACTGGTGTTTGCAATGTCATGTGGACCCAAGGTCAGTGGAAACATAGCACAGCTTAAGCAGCTCTCACGATGGCCAGAATATAGGAAGGTGAATGCAGAGAGAGAGAGGCTCCCTGTACCCTCCTGAGAAGGCCACACACAAGGAGGCACCATCAGGCTGTGACCTAAGTGACAGGTTGGATACCACCCCTATGCTTTTAATATCTTCAAGTTGACATAAGATGATGTAACCACAGCAGGGAGTGAAGCCTTGGGAACTTCATTTGCTGATGGGGCATGACTCAAAATGAGAAGAAGCAACTGCAAAAAGCTACTAATAGTAGGAACATGGAATATATGAAGTATGAGTCAAGAATTATTGGAAGTCATCATAATTAGAATGGAATGCTTCAAGATTGATATTCTAAGCATTCGTGAGCTGAAATGGACTGGTATTGGCCATTTGAATTGGACAATCACATGGTTTACTATGCAGGGACTGAGCGATTCAAGAAGAATGGCGTCACACACATCATACACATACAAAAAGGAGACCTCAGGATCAATTGTTAAATACATTGACAGGTATGACAGTGTAAGATCTATTTGCATACAAGAAAATCAAGTCAATACAGCTATTATTCTAACGTTTGCATCAAGTACTAAAGCTACTGATGCAAAAATTAAAGGATTCCACCAGCATCTTCAGGCAGAAATTGATCAAACATGCGATCAAGATGCATTGATAATTATTTCTGATTGGAAAACAAAAGTTGGAAACAGAGGAAGGTAGAAAATATGGCCTTGGTGATTTAAATAAATCTGGAGATCCCATGACAGAATTTTGGAACCCAATGACTTCTTCATCTCAAATATCATTGCTTCACAAGTCAAAGAACAACTATACATGTGGCCTTCTTCAGATGGAATACACAGAAATCCAATTGACCACCTCGGTGGGAAGACATGGTGGAGAAGCTTTATATCAGGAGCTGAGATCAGGACAGGGGCTGACTGGAACAAATCACCAGTGGCTCATATGTAAGTTGAGGTTGACTCTGAAGAAAATTAAAACAAGTTGAGGAGAGCCAAATGCAATCTAGCGTCTATCCCACCTGAGTTTTGAGAACATCTCAAAGAAAAGATTTGACACGTAGGACATTAATGACAGAAGACCTGCTGAGTGCCATGATGACACCTAGAACATTGTACTTGAAGAAACAAAAGGTCATTAAAAAGACGGGACAGGAAGGAAATACCAAAGTGGGTGTCAGAAGAGACTCTGAAGCTTGCTCTTGATCATGGAATCAGCTAAGGCAAATGGAAGAAATGAAGTCAAAGAAATGAACAAAAAATTTCAAAGGGAAGCTTGAGACGACAAAGTAAAATATTGTAATGAAATGTGGAAAGACGTAGAGTGAGAAAGCCAAAACATCTAGCATATCTTTAAGGGACAGAAATGGAAAAGAATTTAAGCCTCAAGTTTCTATACTGAAAGATTCTATGGGCAAAATATTGAATGATGCATGCAGCATCAAAAAAAGGTGGAAAGTACCGTCAGTGTACAAAAGCAAAAAGTTAACATTCAACCTGTATAAGAGGTAGCGTATGATCAAGACCAATGGAACTGAGGAAGAAGTTCAAGCTACACTGTAAGCACTGGTTCTAAAGCAAACTCACTGCCATTGAATTGATGCCAATTCATAGACGCCCTATAGAACCAGGAAGAATTGCCCCTATATGTTTCCACAACTGTAACTCTTTATGAGAGTAGAAAGCCCCATCTTTCTCCCATAGCTAAAAACCAGGCTCTAGGAATTGACTTGGTTGAAATGTTTCAACAAGCAAATGAAGCATTGGAAACACTTGTCTGTCCCAAGAGATTTGGAAGACAACCTTTTGGCCGATTGGAAGAGATCTTTATTTGTACCCATTCCAAAGAAAAATCACTTAACAGAACGCACAAATTACAGCACAATATCGCTGATATCACATGAAAATAAAATTTTGCTGGAGATCCTCTGACAACAGTTGCAACAGTACATTAGCAGGAAGCTGGCAGAGTTTCGAGTCAGAAGTGGAGGAAGGCCTATTAACAACCTGTGATATACAGATGATACACCCTTACTTGCTGCAAGTGAGGAGGGCCTGAAGCACTTACTAATGAAGATCAAAGATTACCCCCTTCAGTACGGACTGATTGCAGCTCAATGTAAAGAAAACCCAAATCCTTACAATGGAACCAATAGCTAACATCATGATAAGTGGAGCAAAGATTGAAGTTGTCAAGGATTTTGTCCTGCTTGGATCCACTATCAATGCTCATGGAAGCAGCAGTGAAGAGAACCAAAGACAAGTTGCAGTGGGTAAATCTGCTGCACATGACCTCTTTGAAGTTTGTTACTTGCAAGGATGTTACTTTGAGGACTAAGGTGCTGCGGACTCAAGGGTGGTATTTTCAGTTGCTTCATATGCACGTGAAAGTTGGACATTGGATCAGGAAGATTGAAGAAGAATCCATGCAGTTGAATTGTGTACTGGGGACAAATATTGAAAGCACCATGGACTTCCAAAAGAACAAACTAATCCATCTTAGAAGGAGGATAGGCAGGATGCTTTTAGAGGCAAGGCAAAATAGACTTCTCTATTTTGGACATGTCTTCCAGGAGAGAGCGGGCCCTGGAAAAGGACATTGTGCTAGAGGGGCAGCAAAAAAAGAGGAAGACCATTGACAAGATGGATTGACACAGTGGCTGCAACAATGGACTCAAGCAGTAATAAGCATCGCACAGGACTGGCCCTGCTTTGTTCTGTTGTACACCGGGTCGTTATGAGCCCAAACTGACTCAAGGACACCCAGCATCAACAGTAACAATTAAGGTGGAGTCTAAAGTGCCACCAAGGAAACAAAGCATTGTTCACACCCTCTACTCAGGTCACGTCTTGACCCTGTCTATTAGTATAGTAGAGAGTGGCTTTCAAAATGGGACTATAGCCACCAATGTATAAAAGGTAAAATTCTAACAGAATTATAATATACCACATAAAGAATTATGGTTAGAAAGGCCATATTCATTGATTCTCAGTGTACTCCCTGGCTCTTCTAGCCATCAACCCATTCACACTTGAACTAAGAGATTATGTACTTGCTCAGAGTATCATTCAACAAATTAGCATAGTGTTAAAATGTTCCCACCACATAAGCCATTTATTTATTCTTTTACTTTTATATATTATTTCTACTTCTTACCATTTGTCATTTATTTGACGTTTATTTTCTCTCTTGGTAAAAGACCTCAGGTTCAGCTACTATACCACTCCAGATTTCTGGTAGCAAGGCAAGGCTAGCAAGTGATTCCCCCTCAGTCCCTTCCCATTCATAGTGCAGGGGTTACATAGGTACGACTCTAGTGGACTATCTTGAGAACCAAGCAATATGACACCGTTCACAGTCAGTCCCAGTTTTGCCAGAGCACTAGAAAATACAAACCATTCCATCAGGCTCTTGAAAATTCTCACATACAATTCAGGAATCAAAACCCTGGGCAACTGTCTGAGTACAAATCTTGCCTCTAGCACATGCTATAGCTGTGACCATGCACACATTTCTTAAACTCTCTGTGTCTTGGGTCTTTCTTTACAACAAATATGATACATCCCCACAGGATAGTTGTGGAGAGAAGTTAAAGTGTGTGAAATCCTTAGACAAGTACCCAGAGCACAGTGAGTATTTATTAAATGTTGGCTGATATGATCATTATTGATATGAATATTATTATTATTATTATATACCTAGGTGCCTATTTACTTTCACAATCCTAAGAAGTGGGGAATTGGCCCCTCAAGAGTTGACCAAGTGTGATCTTCTCATTGATGTCTTCTGGCTAGGTTTGAGAACACTGAAGAAACCCAGGGAGAAAACTGGAGGGAAAACTTGGGAGACGGGGACTGGAACCCTTCTGAGGATGGCTCCACTGTGGTCCCCCACGGGAGCAAAGAAGGGCCCTCCCAAATAACATCCAATACGTGTGAGAAGTTTCAGGTCACAGTGGGCATTGATGGTACCCTCTACAAGACACACCCACAGTAAGTGCTGCTTGTCAACCCACCCCTGGCAATGAGCCTCCCCTTGGGGTGGAACCCCAGCTGTTCTCTCAGGACTGTGCTGATCACCTGAGTTTCTGGAAGTGTTACCCAAACGTGGTCACAGTGACAACTAAGCCATACCAAATTAAGAGACAGAGAGAGCTGTATTCACTCATGCAGGATTTCAGCACTCCCTCAATGTCTGCTTCCATGGTCTTTATTGTGGGATTTGCTGGAGTAACACTTGGTACAATTCCAAGAACTGCAAAGTTTGAAGAGACAGAGCTTTTTATACAGGAGGGCTGGGATTACACATGGGTCACAAGTTACTTTTTGTGTGTGTGTTTTTTTAATGTCACAGACCTGCTATGCAAGTAAAATGACCCATTTCTGACATTGGAAAAACCTCCTGAGTCTCTAATATTCCTCATACAGTTATGGTTACTTCTCTTATCTCACTGAGAGGAACCTTGGCATTATTTATTGAACAATATCATGCATTTTTCTGTGGATCATGGGGTATCAGAACCAGCCACCCATACTAGACCTGAGATTACAAAGAAAGGGCAGGTCTACTGGTTGGGTTGCTTTGGGGAGGGGGTCTTTCTTATAGAAATGTTGTGCTAAAATAAGCTGCCTAACTAGTAAGGCCATCATCTGTCCAGGTGTCCATCCGTTGGTCCATCCAGTCACCTACCTACTCATTAACCATTACTTGTTGAAAACCTGCTGTGTGGTAGAACTGGTAAATAGGACACACTCAATTTTAGACAGGGAAGCAGGGGTGACAGAGGCTGCCACGTTTACATGAAGGATCTGGGTAGGACAATACAGAAACGTGAGAACTTCCCAGAAGGAAGGAGAGCCAGGTGGTTGTGTTGGATGTCAGTGGGAACACCTGAAAGCCTAGGGAAGCCCATCTCTCCCTTTGGACAGAGATAATGTTGTTTAGGGACTACATTATATATGGACATGCCCTATTGGTTGAAATATTAAAGATAAAATAGCTAATCACCTGGCTCTCCCCCCCTGCCTCGTACACTGCTCCTGCTATAGCCCCTCTCCTTAATCCCCTGCATCTGTGCCCCCTACCACTCAGCAAGGGAAGGGTGAACCTGGCTCAGCAACCCTTGCTGGGTCCCCTGCTATGACTATTCCTGGCTCTGTTCCCTGTGTCTGGTTGGGCCATTTCTGATGGTTAGATATTTGACTACCACCCTGTCTTCAGGTACCCAAAACGCCTGCACAAGGTGGTGAGGAAACTGGTCCCAAACTGTGACGTCCACTTCCTCCTGCCCGAGAGTGGCAGCACCATAGGGGCTGCCATGGTCACTGCGGTGGCCTCCCAAGTTCAGGCCCAGCGGAAGCAGATCGATGAGGTGCTGGCTCTGTTCCAACTGACTGGAGACAACCTGGTGGACGTGAAGAACAGAATGAGGGCTGAGCTTGAGTACGGGCTGAAGAAGGAGACCCACCCGATGGCCACGGTCAAGATGCTACCCACCTACGTCTGCGGGATGCCTGATGGCACAGGTGGGCCAGCCCAGTGCCTTCACTCGGGCCTCCCAGAGCTTCGGGCCTCCCAGAGCTTCGATGAAAGCGCCTTACAGCCAGTGAAGGGTTTTGTTTTTAAAACCTTGGACTCATGTCTGTAATGGGATAGGTGGAGGATAAGTAGGGTAGGTGACCCGTACTTCTTGTCAACCTGTTAGCCTTGGATCAACCAAGGCATTTGCAGTGAAAGAATAGCAAATGTGGACCCCACACGAGTCAGATTACAATTTTCTCCATAGGTTTTTCAGTGGCTCATTTTTGGAAAGTAATCATCAATCTTTTTCCCCTGGTACTTTTGGGTGAACTTGACCCTCCACCATTTTAGTGAGCAGCCCAGCACATGAACTGTGTGCATGACCCAGGAAATCCTCCCTCCCTCTATCAGTGTGGGAGACAGGACCCAGACTCTCTTGCTCAAGACAAAAAACCTCATTTCTTAGAACTGTCGAGTCCCCTAATTCCAGTTCATGCATTTCACTTCATCTCTCTGGGGGCGATTGGGGATTCAGAGGTCCTTGTCCAGGACAAGAAATGTAGTCTAGCCTAGGACCACCTCAGGGGCCTTTCCAGTTCCTCGTGACCTGTAGTCCCTAATTCACAAGATATCAGACTCTAGGCAGTTCCTTCAGTATTCCCTCTTTCTCCTGATCCTTCCACACAAGCTCCTGCTCGGTCCATGCTGGTAGGATGCAGCTCTGACTTTTTATACCACAGAGAATGGCAATTTTCTCATCCTGGATCTTGGTGGAGCCAACTTTAAGGTTCTCCTAGGGAAGATCAGAAGTCATCAAAAATGTGTGGAAATAGATGAAAAGACCTTCCCCATCCCCCTGGAGATCATGCAGGGCACAGGCGAGCAGGTAACTGCCGGGGTGGGGTGGGCTTCCTGTGCTTTGTGGGTGCTGACCTGCCAGCAGATCCCACTGCCCCCCTCTCTCCCTGCAGCTGTTTGACCACATCGTGCAGTGCATCGCAGACTTCCTGGACTACATGGGGCTCAGGGGAGCCCAACTGCCTTTGGGCTTCACCTTCTCCTTTCCCTGCAGACAGACGAGCATTGCCAAGGTAAGGCGGGCCAGCCAGCCTTGCAGTCCACTGGGCATGGCCCCACCCCATGAGGGCCCTCTGAGTCACCAGGTTTATTTCACCTAATGACCTCAGATAGCGCAGCTGGAGAAACATGATAGAGAACTGTGACTATTTGACTTTAAAAAAAATCTATTATGCACCATTCTTTCATTGTTATGGTATATTTTGGACTGAAGCTCCTAGAAGAATTTAGAGATCCAATAACAAGATACATGTATGCAACCTGTTAAAAGATTGGTCAGACAGGTCATGAAGCAACAGGAAGGGGAAATGAAACATAAATTGACCAGATAAAGCCAGTAATACTACCAAAGGCTAATATTATCTGTATAATCCTTGGCATGCAACACAGATGGGATTGTAAAGTTTGTATTGAATTGATGTAATTCCTCCATTCAGCAATAGACACTGAGCATCATGGTGGGAGAAGCCTCCATGCTCAGTGCTGGGGCTACAGAGATGGAATCACACTGAGAAACACATCAAACTAGAGTGCTCTGGATCTTTCAGATGTTAGTCTAGCCTAGCCTAGGATCACGTGGAGTGATCCCAGCAAATTATTGCTCAAATGAATTCCTCCTCTTTTCTTTCAGGGAACCCTCATGGAGTGGACCAAAGGCTTTAAGGCCACCGACTGTGAAGGGGAAGACGTGGTGGACCTGCTCAGGGAAGCCATCAAGAGGAGAAATGTATGCTATGGGAACTTAGCTCAGAACCTCAAGTTGGGCATTTGAGTACCACATCTGTTTTCAGGGGACACATTCCTTCTGACTTAATTGTATGCCCATATCTACTAGGGGCTCACATTTTCGAACTGAAAAGGTAGTGGCTCTGTTATCCTGGGGGGCAGGGGGCTGGGGGGGGCACCTTTGATGGGTATGAGTGGTTTTTCTCATCCATGATGTCATGTTCCTCTATCCCTTGGGGTTGCATATCCTTTGGGTTGGTATGTTTCTCTTGAGTCTGCTTGACTTGTTTATTCTACCTACAGTAGGATGACTTCCTTTTCAGGAATTTGACTTTGACATAGTTGCTATGGTCAATGATACAGTGGGGACTATGATGGCCTGTGCCTATGAAGACCCAAATTGTGAGATTGGCCTAATTGCAGGTAAGTGGTCAGGCATGTGCCATTGACCTTGATCCCATATGAACCCTTAGAGGTTCCATTTAACACTGTGAGGGACAGGGACCCATTGTCCCATTATACAGAGGTTTGGGAGATAACTTTGTCCAAGCACATAAGCAGTTAAGATCAATTCCTATATACATGTTTATGCATTTTACATGCTTTATCTAAAATAGATATACAGTTAATAAAAATGCAAGAAGCAGTGCAACATTAAAAATAATAATAATAATAAAAAGATTGATTCCTAATCCTTAATTCCTAAGTATTTATTTAAATCCTTTCTCCACTGTGAATACTCAGACAAGGTCATCCTTTCTATTGAGGAAGGAAAATGATGTAGAAGAGGGGATTTTCCAATTAGGGCCTTAGGGCAGATTGTCCTGGGAGGAAGGAGGCCATTGTCAGATTTGGCTGGAAGGCAGCACTAGATTTGGAAGCATGTTAGGCTGCAGCTAAGTGAGCTGTGTCCCCTTTGGCCCAAAGTGTGCCTCCTCTCTTCCTCTGAGCTTTTCCAGCAGTCACGGCTCAAAGAGGAGGAGAGTTAGAAAGAAACTCAAGGGAGGGGAGAAGAGTAGTCTGAAGAGACAGATTTCAAGGCCTTTGGGGGAAGTCTAGTAGTGACTGTGGTCAAGGGTGGATTCTAGGTGACTGGCTCTAATAGGTGCAGGAGGGCTGGGATTTGAACAGGAGATGGAAAGAAGTGCATTCTGGGTGCCAGACACATGCTAAGTAATGACCATAACTGGGAAAGTTGTTCCCATTGTTTGTCCGTGTTTCCTGGAGATGAGTAGTGGGTAGACCAAGGTGATGGGATTTATTGATACATCTTCAGTGCCATCTCATTACAATGTTTATCCACTGTGTGACCTGAGGTAGATTACTTGTTCTATCTGGACTTGAATTGTCCGATTTGTTGGAGAGGCTGTGGAGCTAAACAGCCTTTTTAAATATAACAGTTGTGTGGGAACAGTTGCCTGGACGTCGGTGTTGAGAATGGTTCTCAGGCCAGATCATGGGCAAGATAGAGGAGAGTGGCTCACACCTGGCAAGTATTGGGTGATCCCAGACTAGACAATTCCTCATAGTTCCTTCTAGTTCTGATCGCTAACTCCTTGATTACATGGAAGCCCACTCTGGGTGCCTTTGACGTAACGATAATGATAATGATAGCAGTAGGTACCATTTACTGATTACTTGCCATGTGGAGGAAGCTTGTAATTAATATTGCATATTTTTCTCATAACAAATCTATAGGGCAGATATTGACCTGGATCCCATGTGAGCCCGTAGAGGCTCCCATTTTACAGACAAAGAAACAGAGTATGAAAGACAGGATCTCAAAAAACCAAACTCACTGCCATCAGGCCTATATTGACTCATAGTGGCCCTTTTAGGACATGGTAGAAGCGCCTTTGTGAGTTTCTGAGACTATTACGTTTACAGGAGTAGAAAGCCCCATCTTTCTCCCAAGGAGCAGCTAGTAGTTTTAAACTGCCAACCTTTCACATTGCAGCCCAATATGTAACCACTATACCACCAGGACTCCGGAAAACCAGAACTCCTAATTGCCTACAATCATCAAACTATGAGGGTAAAATTAGAAATCGAATTCAGTTACATATGGCTACAAGCCTAAACTCTTACTCACTGCCCACTGGGCTACTGACCACAATGTCAGC